AGAGAGTGTAGGCATATCTGCCACAATATCTTGTGATTCCTTATACACAATATCAAATAATTAGACAAAAATTAATTTCTACTGTACTTTTAAAATTAAGACATTGGTGCATTAGTTTGCTGAATTTGTACTTCTGTGGTGGACTTACTTAGTTTCACATCCCCACTAGGTAATGAGCTGCTTATCTTTTCTTCTGTTCTGTTTGTGGCCTTTTTTCCAGGCCCTAGGGAGTAAAACTCTATGACCTGATTCAGCCTGTGGTCAGGTAAGCCTTAGAGCCCGTCCTTGTGCTTCAGGATACTGTAGGGTGAAGAGCAGGACTATCCCTTTCACTAACACCAAGACATTTAATCAGCTTAGCTGTGATCTAACCACATCTTTGGTGACCTACAAACCAGTTTTACTAATTAAATGTGAATCATCTTTATGCCAAAATAGTTCTGATTTAGAATATATCTTACTACATTTGAGTGACAAAGTATTTTAGGAATCACAATATTAACACTTCTGCATATCATATAGCAGATGTGTTAAAGTACAATGTCAGCATGCTGTTGTGGAGAGAAAAGCCATTGCTAATAAGTAAAACCAGATGCACTGCTTCTGGACTAGGAAAGAATTTGATAGCAAAAAGTAAAGTAGTTGTGAAGACTCTAATAATACTACCTATGGTAGGAGTTATACTCTGTAGTTACTTTCATTGTTAATTGTCTCACAAAGTAATATCAAGTCTTATGCTCCTCTCTTTAATATTTTTCCCAGAAGTCCTATGTTTGGGTTACATCTATTGGGAAGCATCTCTGCCTCAAGGTGAGGCTACTTGTGTGGCATCAATAGATCATCTTAAAAACGTCCTACATAACAGCACTGAGTTTACAGTATGCCTTGAGAATATGTATTTTTTAAAAAAATATTACTATTTGGTTTATGCAATTTCTTCCAAACTACTGTCGGTGTTGCTCTGTCAAAACACGGGCAGACAGTTATGGAAAGGGCAAGAATGCGAATTGCCTGGAGGACGTAAAACTGTACAAAGTTACCATCATTGCTTCCACTATCACTCTGAACTCTTTGTATTACCAGTGACACCCTCAGTAAGACCAGCAGCTATGGGTTCTTTTTACTGAACACATCAAGACTTCAGTTACTTCTTCACAAATGTTAGCTTCTTAATCTGCTTGAGAAAAGCACTGCTGATTTAATCACATGAGTTTCAAACTTAGACATAGAACACATAGAACACCTCACCTAAATGGTATTCCTTCTCCCCCACCTCGATCATGCAGAAAGATGCTATGATCTGGAAAGGAAAACATAGGTCCACATCATGAACTCATAACTGTTTCATCAGGACATCCAGATTCAGACCAGACCTTAGACTTGTGTGAGTTAAGACAGTTGTTTGAGAGCCATCTAGTTTTCTAGAAAAGAGTCATCGCATCTGATGCATAGTAGTATCTTTTGGAATGTATCTTACATGTAAATTATCAATGATAGGGAATGACTTTGCTTTAGTAGAGCACAGAAGCCTAAAGTTTGATTTCAGACTTCCTTTTGAACCTCAGAAGAATCTGAGCTATAAAACTGGTCATCTTTCCAGAAGGTTCTTTAAGGGTGTCGCTTTACATTTCAGAAGTGAAATTTGTAAGTTTCAGGGATGAAATCATGTCTGCATTAACTGCATCAGAGAAAGTATTCTTACTGTTGAGTGCCAATTTAAATGGTGGTTGTGTTGACTACTTCAGTACATTTTCCCTGAACTTCTAGTCATATTTGAGTATAGCAACAGTGGGCGTAGAGAAGCACTGTTATAAGTAGTGTGTATACCCACTCTAGACATATCTTGTTTCTTTTGTTGCTTTTAGATCAACATTTCTCTTTTTAAGCCCATTCTTCACACTTCTTATGAATAGTACCATATCATATCAAATATGTATCAGTTGTAGGATACATTACAGTAGTAAGTGGAGCAGGAGTGCATAACAAAGTTCAACAAAGACAAATGTAAGATCTTGCACCTGGGAAAACAATTCAGGAGTGCAGCACAGGCTGGGATCTACCTGGCTGAGGAGTAGCTCTGTGGAAAGGGACCTGGGGGTTGTGGGGGACAACCACCTCAATACGAGCCTAGTGTGTTGCTGCAGCAAAGCAAGCCAACAGGATGCTGGGTTGCATCAACAAGGGCATAACCAGCAGAGACAAAGAAGTCATTATACCACTTGGCACTTGTCAGGCCATACCTGAAATACTGTATTTGATTTTGGTCCCAGCTATACAAAAAAGATGTGGACAGGCTGGAGAGAGTCTAGAGAGGGGCCACAGAAGTGATCAAAAGCCTGGGTAGCCTGCTGTGTGAGGAAAGGCTGAGAAAACTGGGTTTGTTCAGCCTTGAGAAAAGAAGGCTTAGGGGAGACCTTATCACCATATTCCAGTATTTGAAGGGTGGCCAAAAAGAAGATGGAGACTCCCTTCTTACAAGGAGAAAGATGAGGGGAAAGACACGGGAAAGACGAGGGGTAATGGGTACAAGTTACTCCTGGGGAGATTCCAACTGGACACAAGAGGAAAATTTTTCATGAGAACAATCAGCCATTGGAATAATCTCCTCAGGGAAGTGGTGGATTCCCCAACATTGGACACTTCTAAGATTCGGCTGGACAGGGTGCTGGGCCATCTTGTCTAGATCTTGCTTCTGCCAAGAAAGGTTCGACCAGATGATCCTTGAGGTCCCTTCCAACCTGGTACTCTATGATTCTATGAACTCAAACTTTGCATGGGTTTAATAATTTTCATTGAGAGCTTTTAGCGAATTTTAATAAAATTACTTTGTACTGTTCCTGCAAAGTAGATAAATGTTACCCATGCAGGTATGCAGGAAAGTTAGACTAATGTTTTCCAAAGAAAGCTACCTCTTTCAGCCAATACCTTTTGAAGATAACTTGTAAGTATCTGTGTGCATTTTTGTTTTAGGCCTGTTGTTTTGAAAACAGTAACGGAACTACATGTGTTGACTTCTGGAGTGCTAAGTGTTGTTTTTTCCTCTTTGGTCAGTGAAACAGAATGTGGCTGCATATGGGAGAAGTCAGTCACATCTCAATAAAATCCCTCTTCCATTAAAAAAAATTCTGAAGAAGACCTGAAGTGGCACACAAAGGTGTTCTGTTTAACAGAACTTATTGCTAGCAAGCATTTCAAGGTTTCTTTCTTCATGATAACACCACTGAACTTTAAGGAGCTTATCAATTGTCATTGTTCAAGCTTAGTATTATCTGTGTTGCCTACTTGGGATTTCTACACACTATTTAACAACAGCATTCTGCTATCTCCCAGCAAAAATACTCACCACTGTCAATCTGAATTTCTTTCTTTTCTCTGCGAAGCTGTGAATTATTACCAAAATGCTATCAACCTACCTATTTAGCAAAATTCTTGTTGAAGAAAGCTGGTGTTTGAAAGAAATATACCTTCGCAATTCAGTCAAAAGTCAAAATAAATAAACCCCGTGTCATTATCTGTCATAAACAAATGAGGCAAGAAAACTGTAATGAAAGCAGCTGAAACACAGACAGTCCTCCCCCCCACCACTGATACAGCTGGAAAAAAAAAGTGTGAAACTGATCAAGGAACTGGTTCATTCATCTGTTATAGGGCACATGTGATTTCCCTAGACTACTAAAATAATGTTAGAAGCGTTTAGCGGCTGTGATATAGTTCGAAAATTTTGGAATTTGAGAGCTGTTGATTTCACAAGGAATTTTACTACAGTAAAGACTGTACCTATCCTGCAGATGTGTAGTGTTGGAACCAGCTGCAGAAAATAATTACAGAATTAGTGAGCTGGTTCCTTTCTAAAATAATAAGCAGTCTCGGTAAAAGTTATAGATATGAATATAAAAATGCAAGAACAATGGGAAGTTGTGGCACAGGAAAATATTCTATTTAAGTAAAATTAGAGAGCATTTCACTGAAGTCAATGGAATTATATTGATAAAAGATTAAAGCTTTGGACACAGCTTGTCTGTCCTTACATATCATACCATGAAGATTCTTTCACAGTTCACAGATTACAGTTGAGAATGTGATTGTCCTCTCCATGATTGAGAAGGTTAAACAGTATCTTAAAAGCAAAACCTCAAATCACTCTATGCATAAGCTACCAAATGGTGCTTCATCAGAAATAGGAATAATATTCTAGTGCTAACTTGTGTTTCTTCCCCTAGAGTGTGAATGTATGAAGCAAGTCAGAACCAGTTTTATGACTTCAGCACCAGCACGGGCTTCCTGGTGAAATTTTTGGCATCACCTGTGGTCTGTATCCATATTTTCTTTTGTCACACCTAAGCCAGATTTTGTCAATTCCTGTTTATCCACTAATCTTGAATAGGGAAAAAAGTCTGTAATAGAAAGCCTGCAGCTGTGCACCTGGGCTATAGAAACAAGTGCAGAAGCCACATTGCATAAGCAGTTCCATCTGCTGGAGACTAGAATACAGATTGCTTTGTTAGACTATTCACTGAAAACAGTTTGTGAATTCCCACATGGTACATTTCATGGGAAAATAAATCTCATAGTAATGTGGTATGAAATTACAATTGCTTATACAATATTTTTCTTTGCTCTTTCTGTAGTCAAAAAGGCAATTAATTATGTCAAGGAGAAATTTAACTATAAGTAAGCCTGTAATTCTAATCTATCTGTGGCAGTGATATTGGATAGAGGCAGTTATTGCAACTTGCTAGATATTACTTTGTATTTAAAATAAATTCTATTAGATCAAAAAGTCAAGATACAAGCAAACTGTGTAAATTATTTTCATTGTGGCAGTATGTTCTTCAAGCTTTTTTTTCCTGGGAGAAGACCAAATGCATTTTCAGAAATGTTACACTCACTGCATAGACACAGACAAATCTATGTGTGCTCAGTGTGCCCCATCACCTAGCTGGGGAGGTGTCGTATACACTTTACCACAAAAATGAAATCTATGGCCCACGCATTCTTCCATGCCGGGTACTGCAGTCTCAGTATGGTGACGGTTCTGTGTTATGGAAAAATAAGGGAAAAAATGCAGATAATATTTTGAATCAAAATTGTAAAATATTTATATATCTCTTCTTCCACAATTAGAATGTAATCTTATTAAATTTCTCATATAGCTATGTTTATAATAAAAAAACCAGCTAAACCCCCAAAAATGAACCAAGCAAAAATGAGGCTAATTTGGAATTGAGGAGCAATAGCCCAGTGACTGAATCTCTAGATTTTCTCTTTCTGTTATAACTGAAGGTCTTAGGTGTGTTTTGTACAACACAATTGCGAAGTAATTGTTGAACTTTTACTTTAACAGTATCTCATTTAAATCCAGGGAAACAGGTATGAAGGAAGTTGTCTGAAGTTGCAGAATGAGTCAGCGGCAAATCTAGAAACTGAACTGGTTGTACCTTCTTACTGCTATGCCCCCTGCCTCTATTTTTTTCATCTTATGCTCCTTGGACTGGGACAATAAGAACAAAAAATAAGCATTGCATAGTTTGCGCATTACAGGAAAACATAATTACTGCAGCCCATCACCATGAAAAAACCCATGGAATTCTAAAGACAAGAACAATTATGATCTCCTGTTTGGAGATCTTCTTGCTTTTCTACAGTTTGTAATGTTTAGCACCTGTTCAAGAAATGTCTTCTATAAATAACCATTTTCTGTTTCAGACAAAATTTACATTGAAAATAATCTGGTGCAGCTGTTCAGTTTTTCTACAATTGTGAATTGCCAAAAAAGGAACAGTAATTCCTTGGGGGCCTCAGAGTGAAATCCTTTTTATTTAACATGATACTATGTAGCAGAGCTGTGATCGAAATCTAACTATTACTGCTGGCTGTTCTTAGATTTGCTAAAACTGAGAACTGAAAAGCCCTTTGTAGATGATTCTCTCTTTTACCATTTCTGTGGCTTTCCAGTTCCCCAATTACTGACCCTGATGGCACGCTGCCCCAAAAATGAGTACTTTGATAATTTGCTGCTCTCTTGTAAGCCTTGTCATCTTCGATGTTCTAGTACACCGCCGCCTTTGTGTGAAAACTACTGTGATAAGAGTAAGTAATATTTCTGCAATACTTTGTGGCTGTGCTGGGCATTTTAATGTTGTAATTTACATAGAATGGTAAGCATAAAAACTTAAAGAACTCTAAAACCTGGAAAGAGTTTATCAGAATAATATATGGGCTCAAAATATTATAGACATATGCAGGGTGTCCTGTGTGAGTATGTTAAGAATAAATTTTTAAGGTTCTCAAGCTTTGCTTGAGCTGTCACTCAATAGAAATGGAAATTGCTCCTTTGATGTAGACGAAGTTTTATGCATTGGACATGTTTACTCTTCATTGGTTATTGCTTACAATTAATTTAATGCATCTCTCTTATTTCATAAGGTATTGATTCAAGTGGAGTTCTTTGGATTTGTTTGGGCTTAGGAGTAATTTTAATGCTCACTCTGTTCACCTTAATGGTCTTGTTTAAATGGAAGCACCTAAAGCACCTAAAAGAAAACCTGAAAAACACAGGTGAAGAAATAAGATTCTTTATCAAATAAATTTAGATCATTGTACATTTTAGCTACTGTTGCCATATATAAATTTTGCATATCATTTATATTCTGGATTCTGATAACTGATAATCTTTGTTGGATTGTTTTTATTCCTCAAATAGCCTCCATGAAGTTATTGAAGTTATTAGGGAATAAAATATCCAGATGATAACTTGTAAAAGCAGCAATCTCTCTTTGCTGCTTCTGGATCATGTCAGGACTGTTGTGTTGCATATTCATACCTGGCATACTTGCTTGTGTTTGAGAAATCATTTATGGACCCTCAACAGCAAAAGACCGTTATAAGGGTTTCATTCTCTTCTCATTGAATGCAAAAGGAATTCCACCCAGGTAGAGGATACACATTCAATATTAGCTTTCCATCTTACAAGATATTGAATAATTTTACTTAACATTCTAGCCTGTGAGAAGCGTACGTGGTATATTTTGGGAAGATGAATAAAATTAAGTTCTTTTTACATTTTACGAATACTAATATTTGTTGAGTGTTCAGCCAATAAATAATAACTGGCTAGAAAACATGTGTTAGATTACTTAAAAGCTTATCCTGAAGTATAGGGGGCATATTGTCATGGAACAAAAGATTATAATATATAACTGCATCTTAATGCTTTCACTATATCTGAAAACTTTCACTAAGGTTAGGAACATAGTTGGAACATAATGAAAGTTGGATCTTTAATAACTGAATGTCTGGTATAGTTTGATGTATGTACTAAATTAACTTCTGTATATTTACAGACTGTTCTGTGGAGCTGAATAATATTCTCAAGGCTAATACTGAAAGCCGTGTGAATACAGAAGGAATTAGACACTCTCTCCAAAGTGAAACATTAATGTATTCAGTGGAAGAATGCACTTGCAGTGACTGTGGCTTGGTAAAACCTCAGACTGGCTGTGAAACTTCATTTCCACTACCAGCTACAGAAGAAGGAGCTACTGTTCTAGTTACCACAAAATCTTTTGATTATTGCAACTATATTCTGGGTGCTGGGTGACTATGAAAAGTGTATTTTTACTGCTTAACAATAAATGAGTTATCTTAATACTTGCAGGCAGTGGAGGAGGTTAGTACATCATCCTTATAGATCTTCCATTGAGCTTTCATTAATATTGTCATATTATTTTTAATTCTAGTCTCTCTTTGGTCAAGTATTTCTACATTATTTTCAGTTACTAAACCAGTTACTGGGATTTTTAATTTCTGGAAGTCCCTACGTAGGATGACTTTTTCTGCCTTTGTATCTACCTATGCTAGATATACAAAAACCCATCAATAAATAAGTTTGTGAACGTATATTTTATGTTAAACTCAGATCTTGTGCCAAAAATTGCTTGATGGTACACAGGGAACATTCCAAGAGGCAGAAATGAAGACCCACATTACATCCCTAGCCTTGTAAAGTAGAATTTCAAATAGCCCCTATGATGCTTGAAGTAGCAATGTTCTAATGATGAATACCTTTGTAGAGTATGGAGTCGCCCCAGTTCAGATAGCATCGCTGCATCACACTAAGGGAGGTTGTGGTGCTGTGGAGCACCACACCTGCTATCCCAATGTATTTCTTGATGGCACAGGCTTTCCGTTAAGTGCCAAATGTTTTCCAGACTGTATTCCATAAAGATTTCTTTCTATTTTACTGATTTTTTTTACTTACCCTTGTTATATGTACAAGGACTGTTGATTAGATAATAGTCACGCTAGGCTACTGTGTTGCCTAAAATTAGTGATATACTTTTGTCACCTTGCCTCGCAAGCATTGTTATTTTCCTAATATTTGGCCAGTTTTATTCCTGGAAAACTGAAAGGATAACTTTCTATTTCAGGCTCTTGCGTGACTGATAAATGAAAATGTTTTAAGACTAGTAAATAATGTCACAAAATCTATAAACAATCGCTATTACAGCACCTTTAGGAGTCTGACCACAAAGTTTGGGCCAGTAACGAGTTAGCTGTGTAGGTCTGGCCACGCATAGCCAAAGCTTCCAAAATAGGCCTACAGAGCTATTAAATTTATTATCACTTTATCTAGGAACTGTTAAAAAAAAAAAAAAAGTTAAGCTCTGTTGCCCCACACTGTGTGGACCAACATGTGGCAAAAACATAGCACTGTAGTGAGACAGCGTGCAAATACAAACCGGCAAGATGATGCCTTAAAAGGAGGCTACAGCATTTCAGAAAATTACTTCATTTCTTTGCCATTTTTTTGTATTAGAGGTTTCACAATTTCTGTACTTTTTTTTT